AGAACGAACCAGCTTGGCACAGGACTGACGTACATCAAAGCCTCAAGCAGCGTGGGGGGGTGGGGGGGGCAATGCCGCACAATTGGCGCAAAGAGAGACCCGCAACGCCCCCCAAACACCCGCGGCTGCAGCGCAGTGATGGCGGCGCGGCAGAGAACGCTGCTAGCGACGGAGTGCACCGAGAGGCCCGCTGCACAACAGAGGCACACGAGCCCTCCTGGAGGACCTCTTGGAGGCTTCTTGGGCCGTCTTGAAGGTCCCTTGGGGGCCTCTTGGGCCGCCTTGGAGGCTTCTTGGGCGAACTCGGACGCGTCTTGGACCCTCTTGGGCCGTCTGGGAGGACACGTGGGGCAGTGCTTGGAGGCCACCTTGGGCGTCTTGGAGGCCGACATGGCAGCGGAAATGTCCCCGCTGGAGTCGGGGCCACCTCCCCCGAGGCCCTCGCACGGCGAGGCAGAGGCCCGGGGCGCCCCGCCACCTTCTCGGCGGGGGGGCCCCCACCGCTCTCGCGCCCGGCCAGCAGCGCCTTCGTGGCGAACGCCGGGCGACGACGTCTCGACAACGGCTCTCTCTCTCTCTCTGTCTCTCTCCGTCTCTCTCTCTCTCTCTCTCTCTTTCTTTCTCACTCTCTCTCTCTCTGCCTCTGTCGCTGTCGCTGTCGCTGTCTCTCTCTCTCTCTCACTCTCTCTGCTGCTGCTTGTCTACTAGGGTGTGAGGCTCGCCTCCTTCAGCCACGAGGGGGGCTTTGGTGGTGGGGGCGCCCCCGAATGTACAGTGCCTCGTCCACCCTGTACAGGTGCAGCAGAGGGCGACGTGGTGGGGGCAGCTCCCGCATGTACTGTGTCACTCCCGCGCCCTGTGCAAGCACTGGTGGGGACTGCGCTGGTGAGGCCTCCGATCGCAGAGGCGGAGCCACTACGGAAAAGTCCCCCGAAACCACTGGTGGGGCCTGATAGCATGAGGTAGCACGGTTTTCCTCGGGGTCGAACTCTGGGGCCGCCTCAAGGAAAACGCATCAAGCTTGCGCGCCCGATATTTCCACCCCTCCAGATTATTGCGAGTGGGTCGTGAGCACTGCTTACTCAGGAGCGCTAGAAGGCCCGAAGAAGAAACAGCCTTGCACCTAACACGCACAAAAAGGGAATCGCCGTCACTGCAGTGGAACGAGATGAGCCTGCGGCCGAGCGCCGCAACATAATGAAGACGGGCAGGGGCCACGCCCGAACAACCCGGATCGCAAGGCATCGGGGATTCCCTAAACTTGAAGTCAGATTGCCCTTCTCTCTCTTCAGGTGAGCTCTACATCTCCAGTAGGCACAGCGCCACTCCCAATCGTGCACGAACGGGGCCTCGCTGACCTTGGCCCTGCCTTTCGCGACAACCTTCGCCCGCTCAACGCCGCTCGAATCAAGACGCGGCCAGGCTGGGAGCAGTCCGGCAGCGAGAGCACACACCGCTCTGGCAACTCCAACACGGAACGGTAGCTCACTCTGCGCAATTCTAGAATCGGCCACACGCAAGAGTGACCCTGGGTAAGAGTGACTTTTGGTGCGCGGCTTTTTGGGGGCCGCGGGGAGACCAAACCTGGGCGCGCAAGCCGAAACTACCGCTTCGTTTTCAACCATCTGAGGACCCGTCTGTACCCGCACCAAAGGTCACTCCGGCGATAGGTCACTCTTACGTCTAGTCGATTCTGGAAGGTCGGGGGGGCAGCGCTGTGCCGGCCGTCGCTGCTGCGTCGGCCCCGTCATTGTCAGACTTCAGAGAAGCTCCCTGGGCCGTCTGAACCTCGGAAGCTTCCGCGCGCGCCTTTCTGCTTCTGGAGGGGGGGGGGCGCACGGGAGCGAGGGAGGAAAGCGCCAGCCCCGCGCAGCGCCTCTGGCGCGGAAAGCTGGGCACACTGAAGCTCCCGATGGGCCCCGACCGCGCTTGGGCATTCCCGAAAGCCGCCAGCGGGACCCACGGCGCACTGTGACGCGGCCTCGAGGGCGCCATGCTCTCCCCGCGGGCTCGTCCGGGGGAGGAGGCCGCAATGGGGGCGCACAGATCGAAACCGGCCTGTCCCCGTTGTCCCCGTGGGCGATTCGCCCCCAACCTGCTTGGGGAAGCTCTTTGACGATATGCTCGTGACAACTGCCGTCCCTGAGAACACCGCCTGAGGCTTGCGTGGCAACCATCTCGGGCACGTTGTCCTGGCAGACCGTGGCTCCTCCCGACGAACACGGACGCGGCCGCGGATCAACTGGGTGCGACAACAGACCCTTCGAGAAAAACTGAACCTTAGCAGGGTCACTCATGTCACGTGATCTGGGAGCCTCCTGGATCGGCGGATCCACGAGCTCGTCCCCATTATCTTGGCCGACTGGGCAGTGCCATAACATGTGCACGCTGCCATCAGAAGCTCCTAGACATGACTGGCAAACGTGTGACTCCATTTGATGCCCCAACCAGATCGCACGATCCCCGGTCCAGGAGGCCCTGCGACTAAGTTACCGAATGCAGCCATTATTGTAGGCTGTGAGCTTGCTATGGCGCAACGGTGACTCCACCACGTCATAGCAGAGTCGCTTGCCAACACCTACAGCCTCCCCCGACTCTCTCTGCAACTGTCTGTTGGCACCTTTTCGACGGCTTCTTGACATGAGCAGGAGGCAACTAGGCGAGGCCGATGACGTCTCATTTTCCAGCTCCAAGAACGACCGCACCCCTCTTGAGGCACTGCAGAATGATACGGGAGATAAAGCCACTCAGACCCTTTTTAGGGCTATAGGGCTCTGAGGTTATAGGGCTATAGGGTCTTACGGCTGTATGACAAAAGGGCTATTGGGCTATAGGGCTATCATGCTACAGGGTAATCGGGCTATTGGGCTAGAGGGCCTCTGGGGCTCTTGGGCTGTAGGGCTATAGGGCTATCGGGCTATAGGGCTATCGGGCTATAGGGCTATAGGGCTGAAGAGCTATAGGGCTATAGGGCTGTAGGGCTATAGGGCTACAGAGCTACAGGGCTATAGGGCTATAACGCTATGGGGCACCCAGGCACCTTCCTTCGCTGGCTTCTTGACATGAGCAGGGGAGAACTAGGCGAGGCCGATGACTTCATTGAAATCATCTGCGAGCGCCAAGAACGACCGCACCCCTCTTGATGCACTGCAGAATGATACTGGATAGAAAAACTCACTCATCATCTTTTTAGGCCTATAAAGGCTATGGGGCTATAGGGCTATAGGGTCATAGGGCTTTGAGGCTGTGGGGTTATAGGGCTACAGTGCTACAGGGCCATAGGGTTATTGGGCTAGCGGGCTAGGGGGCTATAAGGCTATAGGGCTATTGGTCTATAGGGCTATAGGGGGTATAGGGCAATAGGGCTGTAGGGCTATAGGGCTGTAGGGCGATAAGGACCATAGGGCCATAGGGCTGTAATGCTATAGGGTTATAGGCCCATAGGGCTATAAGGCTATGGGGCACCCGGGCGGGCCGCCGAAAGCGGCGACGCAGCTCCCGGGCACGCGGGCACACGGGCACCCGGGCGTGCCGCCGAAATCGGCGACGCAGCTAACCTAACCATATGAATCCACTAGGACCTCTACAGAGGCAAGCTCTGATTGGGGAAATATGTAAGTTCATGGCCCCCGAGGCCCACGCACCGAGCTCCAAGTCAGAATAGGCTCCTCAAGGTCAGGATGAACAGCTTGCCACCGAGAATCAAGAAGGAACTTAAACAACCCAGGGGAATCTGAAAGTACGGCATTGGTGGGCCCGCATTTCTGTTCAGTGCTAAGCTGCGGGGGCCACCGAGGTCGCCGCAGCGGGGTCTTGCTCAAGGACCAACAGGGAGGTCGCTGACCTCATTCTAGCGGGAGGCTCGAGGACCCGTCCGGGCTCCCGTCTGAGGCCCGCCAGCTCGTTCCTCAGCTCATGGACCTCAGCATCGCGGGTGGCCCCCCGCGACGGGCCCCGAGGCAAGCGCCTTTTTGCAATATCTTTGTCTCGGGATATCCTTCAGACTCGGAAATCTCGAAATCCCGGCCTTGAGACTACGCCGTCGAACATGGTTGCGCCGACCGCGACGGCCGCGTCTTCGAGAAAGACCAGCAATATCGTCGACGCCTAAGCACACCAGACGCCGCTCCTGGCGCGCCACCAACATGTTCCAAAAGCCTGCTCACCTTGGTCCCATCACCTTGCCAGAACAAACCACCGAAGCTTCCTCCTCAAACGCATGAGACAATATATCATCTGGCAAAACCGAATTAAGTCGGGTGAGCCCAGAAATCATGTCTTCTATAACGGTGCGAGCCGAGCCAGTGACTTGCTGGCCGTAGTCATCGATGTAGATGTCGAGAGTCATGGACACACTCAGGCAAGAGATCGATGCTGGGAATGGCGCGCACCCTCACAACGGTCTTGGCGAGGGAATCCCCCGCGACCACACCTTGCCAAGCCAACTACGGGCCCCTCAAGATGCCACAGATGCCCCAAAAAAGAGCGCCTCGACACGCAGCCTTGCGCAACCTGTGGATCTGAGGGGGACAAGGGAGATGGTCGCATCTCCGTGTGAGCCGGGGCAACTTGATCGTTTCGCAGAGCTTATGGAGGTCCCACAACACCGAACAACCCATTCCTTGCGAGCTAATATCGGGGAGACGTAAGACTCGGGTACGTGGGACTCGGGTTGGCCTGACGGGGGCCATCATAAAAATGACGAGACCCAATCTGAAATTTGACGCGGGCTCCCGCTGCAGACATCCCACGAAAACGGGACCGTCAAAATCCAGGACGCGCTCGTCAAAAAAACGGCAAAACAGAGTTCCGGCTTACTCGAGTCTTACGTTTCCCCGATAATAGGTGGCAAGCTTGGCCTCGAGCCAATACGACTTGGGCCATCACGGCCTGAGCCAAAATATGGCTCGAGCCACAGTGGCTGCGGAGAGGGAGGGCGAGCCGACGTGGGCCATCGGACGTCCGATGGAGGAGAAGGAGGAGGAGGAGGAGGCGGAGGAGGAGGAGGAGGGAGGAAGAGGGAGGACGAGGATGAGGAGGAGGAGGAGGAGGCGGAGGAGGAGGAGGGATGAGGAGGGAGGGCGGGAGTGACAGCATCGATCCAGCATGTAGGTCCCTGAACCTCTAGGCAAGAAATTTCCAACGGGGAACTTGCTACGAGGGCGAACTGTCATTCGCGGCCGGCTCGGAAACACGAGCTGTACCGTCCGTCCGCTTCGGAAAGGCACTTTCTCCTATGCTCGGCGATGACACTGCAACTTGAAACAACTTGAAAGCACGGCCGAATACGTTGAGACTGCCACGTCCACAGCAAAAAGGCGTCAAGCCTCTCTACAGACAGTGGTTACCAGCACCCTGGAGAATCCTTCACGAGAGGACGGCGGGCGTGGTAGTAATCGCAGTGCTTCTTGGAAGGGGACGTGGAAGAAGGGGAAGTCGCAGCAGCCGCAAGACGCGGACGGGTCAGCAGGAGGACGGATCAGGAGGGAAGACGCGGCGGTGAATGAGGCTCAGCAGGCATTGACAGGACAGGTGAGGACGAGCAGAAGGAAGAGGAGGACGAGCAGAGGGAAGCACTCGCCTCCACCGCCTCCTGGTCCTGCCCTTGTACCCTGCCTTCCTCGCGTGCACGGGCGCGAGCCCTAATGGATGTCAAGGAGGCCGGCGGCCACGATGTATGGCGCAGAGCTTGCCAAAAACGGCGCACGGGGTACTGGCCGGAGCTCGGCCGTGGTCGAAGAAATCGGAACTGCAACATCGAGGAGCGGGCCGTGGTGGCAGCCCCTCAAGAGCATTATCAACCTGAGACCAAAAAGGTAGAGCACGGCGTGTCGTAACACAGCTGGCCGCCCCAACAAAAGCACATCCAAGCATGATGTGTCGATGTGCGGTCGGTTCGTGCGGCGTCGGCGCGCGCAAAGGTTACCAACACCGCGCGTCGATCGTGCAACCTTGAATCGATCGCGGCCCCGATCGTTCAAGGTGGAATTCCATCGGGTCCTCTGGCGTTACCGTGCCCCTCGGTGCTTCCGCGTCGTTCTATCATGCGGATGTTTAACTCTAACCGTTTTCGCCGGCGTCGCCGACACGCCATCGCCGCATGAACCTACCTTACACATGTATATGCACATTCGTATGCGTGTGTTTGATGAGGCGCCCGCATAGCCACAACGTGGTATCCCCTGGAGGTCATATCATACGTCCCATGCCAAATGGAGCCCAGAACCACCCCAGGCGCAAACAACGCGCGATACTTTCTCCAGGTACCAAGAAATTGAGATGTTTGATTTTAGTTCGAGACAGCTGCTGGGGATATGGAGACTTGTCGATGGCGGGTGTTGTACGTTGCAGCGGCCTTGGCATGGGATCGATGACAGTGATTAGTGGTTGGAGAGATGCGCCTGATGAAGGATGCGGAAACATGCAATGCCAAGCAAAGGGTTCCATGCGAGGCTTGCCGACGCGCTCTATACTCTGCTACACTGCGATATTCGCCTACGGTTTTGAAAATCTGAAAATAACAGCGCGAAGGGCAGCAACGAGACAGAGTCGAGGACAGCGTCGGTGCCCACATCAAGCCATACACACTATGCCTATCTGACGCAACGCTGGCGAGAACGTGCACACCTACTGCGACTGAAACAATGTCACAAGCTAATTCTAGAATTATCTAAATGCCTATTGAAATTTGCCGCTGCCTTGTCACACCCACTCGGGTGTGCGAGCAGCGTTGAGCAAACAACTAGCTGGCCTCCTGAGGGCCTTTGAAACGTGACTGCTTCTCCACCACCTCCTCATCCTCCTCCTGAAACGGAGGTGCAAGAGGACCGCCTCGTTCTTTTGCTGCCGATGCTACGACTACGATGACGACGACGACTACTACTACGACGACTGCAGCTAGTACTATTACTGCTACTGTGATTCCTACCACTCTTACTGCTACCCTCACTCCTACTGGTACAATTAAACATATCAGTACGACTACGATCACCATCACGATTACGGTTACTATTCTACTTAATATGACTATTACTCTTACTATCGCTATTACGACTACTATCGCGATTATTACCACGATAAAGATTACTCGTACCAGTCAGATCATTGCGATTACTAAACGCTTGCTATTCTCATTGCTACTTCTTTTTCTATTACTACTGACGTCAATGGTGCGATTACTAACATTCTTACTAATATCGCTATGACGATTACCATTACTGTCACGATTACCACTGCTACTACTACTACTACTACTACTACTACTACTACTACTACTACTACTACTACGACTACTATTACTACTGCTACTACTACTACCATTACTACCACTACTACTACTTCTACTACTACTTCTAGTAAAAAAAAAAAAAAACAACTGGCGCGAGGTGGAGCTCGTTGACCAACGCAGCCAGAGCGGACAATGTGGTGACCTGGGGTCGGTTTGTGAAGTTTGTGAGAAATTTGCCAATTCGTTTTGAGAGCCAGTTCTAATACGCATGT